TTTGTCCGGGGTGTACGTACACCTGGCTGCTGGTGCATGCGCGCTGCTTCAGCTTCTGGAATTCGCAGCAAAGGCCGAATTTGAATTATTTTCGAAGTTGAATTCATTTAATTTCTTTAATTCATATTAATTCATTTAAATTCCTCTTTTGTTTCCCCCTTTTGCTTCTTTTTCGCGGAGGCAGCGCCGAAGGTGGAAAGCCAGAAGTTGAGTTCGTCGGCGCTGCTTTCGGCAGCCTCCTGCTGCTTCCGCGCAGCATTTTGGGGGAAATTGGTTCAAATTTGGAGATTAATTTGGCCAATTAATGCAATTAAGGAGTTTATTTCGCAATTTGAACCAATTTATTAATTTTCACGGTAAAAAATGAGCCAAATTGGACCAGTTCAACTTGCATGCGGCAGACACCCGACCGGTCTGGTCCTGTGTACGTACACCGCAGCCGGGTACACTGTAGATACACCCGAAGAGCGGATTCTTTTCTCTAAATTCCTCCAAACAGAATTATAAATCCCCAAATTATGTTTTTAAAAGACTGCGCAGTCAAAAAAAAAGTCCAGCTAGATCTGAAGCTTGAGACTCGTTGAGGTGTCTGTACACTCCAGGTCCACGGGGCTGCAAAGTCAAACCGCCGGCTCTTTCCTCTTCAATCTGCAAATGAAGAATAATTTAATTCATTTTAATAAAATAAAACTTAATAAAACTTCTAAACACTGATTTGCTGCTGCTTCCCCAGCGCCTGAAGCCCCCGCTGCATGCAGCAGCTGCTTTGCTGCACTCCAAAGTTGAATTGCACACTTTGCTGCTTCTTTGAATCTTTTCAATATTTCCACTTTTCTGAAGGGCCCAAGCAGCAGCAACAACAACAGCAGCAGCAGCAACAACAACAGCAGCAGCAGCAACAACAGCAGCAGCAGCAGCAGCAACAACAGCAGCAGCAGCAGCAGCAGCAACAGCAGCAGCGGCAGGAAGGAGGCTCTGGAGCGGCCGCAGAGTTTCCTCGCCGCTGCGCTGCTCCCCCTCCACAGCAGCAGCAGCAGCAGCGGCAGCAGCAGCAGCAGCAGCAGCTGCTGCTGCTGCTGCTGCTGCATGCAAAATGGCAGCAAGAACGCCCTCAAATGCAAGTCCGTTTTCTCCAGAACTTCAAACTTTTGTTGTCACCAAATATGACCCTTTGCTGGCAATTGTGAGGGAACTCAACACGAGGCTGCAAGCTTCTGAAAAAGGTATTTTATGTTTTTTCTTTTTCAATTCAATTTAATCTGCCTTTTGGCCTTTTGCTGCTGCTGCTGCTGCTGCTGCTGCTGCTGATCTTGTCTTGCTCATAGTTTGAGGCTTCGTGGCGAAGCCACAGCAGCAGCAGCAACAACCGCAGCAGCAGCAACAGCAGCAACAGCAGCAGCAACAACAACAACCGCAGCAGCAGCAACAGCAGCAACAGCAGCAACAGCAGCAGCAACAACAACAACAACAACCGCAGCAGCAGCAACAGCAGCAACAGCAGCAGCAACAACAACCGCAGCAGCAGCAACAGCAGCAGCAGCAGCAACGGCAGCAGCAACAGCAGCAGCAGCAGCTGCTGCTGCTTCTGGATTATGTTTTGTTTTGCAGAACGCATGCGTCTCGAGAGAAGAGTGCAGCGGCTGGAGCAGCAAATGATTTCTTTAGCAGCAGCAGCAGAATCTGGAACTCCATTTAAAGCAGCAGCAGCAGCAGCAGCAGATCTCGACGCAGACGGCCCCGCAGGCAGGCATGGTGAGCCACTGTTGCTGCTGCTGCTGCTGTTGCCGCTGCTGCTGCTGCTGTTGCTGCTGCTGCTGTGCTGCTGCTGCTGCTGTGAAAGAGCGAAAGGATTTGATCTGAAACAAACAATTAATATTTGAAAAAGAATAATTAATTGAATGATAATAAACAATTAATCATTTTAAAATGAATTATTAATTTAATAAATAAATAAATAAATAAATAAATAAATAAATAAATAAATAAATAAATAATTTGCTGCTGCTGCAGCTGTGCAAGAACTGCTGGAGGGGGAGGAGGCGCTGGCGGCGCCGTGGCTGTTCTCGTGTCAGGTGAGGCAGTTGTCAAAAAAAGTGGAAAAAAGCGGAAAAAAGCGGAAAAAAAGCGAAATAAAAGCAAAATAAAAGCAAAATAAAAGCAAAATAACAAAAGATTTGCAAAAAGGGGGGAAAATAGATTTAAAAATTCGCAAAAAGCTCCAAAAAAACCCCAAAATGCCCCAAATTCAACTTTTGCAACTTGCACAATTCGGGTGTACGTACAGATCGGAACCCCCACTTCGGCCCTCCAAGTCCTTCTCGAGTTTTCTCCAGAATCCACTTTGGAAGTCGACTGCAAACTTTGGAAAAGAGAAGTCTGCTGCTGCTGCTGCTGCTGCTGCTGCTGCTGCTGCTGCTGCTGCTGCTGCTGCTGCTGGGGTGCTGCTGCGGTGCTGCTGCTGCTGGGGTGCTGCTGGAGAGCTGCTGCGGTGCTGCTGCTGCTGCTGCTGCTGCTGAGGTGCTGCTGCGGTGCTGCTGCTGCTGCTGCTGCTGGGGTGCTGCTGCTGCTGCTGCTGCTGGGGTGCTGCTGCTGGGGTGCTGCTGCTGGGGTGCTGCTGCTGGGGTGCTGCTGCTGGGGTGCTGCTGCGGTGCTGCTGCTGGGGTGCTGCTGCTGATACGGCGCTGCTGCTGCTGCTGCTGGGGTGCTGCTGGTGCTGCTGCTGGGGTGCTGCTGCTGCTGCTGCTGTTGTTGCTGCTGCTGCTGATGCTGATGCTGCTGGTGTGCTGCTGCTGCGTTGCTGCTGCTGCTGTGGTGCTGCGTTGCTGCTGCTGAGGTGCTGCTCTGCTGTGCTGCTGCCGCTGCTGCTGCTGCTGCTTTTGCTGCTTTTTGAGTTTTAATTCATCTTTTGCTGCTGCTAGGAAGGGAGAAATGGGAAATAGTTTTAATTTATGAGTATTAATAAAAACATTAATATTAATGTTAATGTTAATATTATTATTATTATTATTATTATTATTATTATTATTATTATTATTATTATTATTATTATCATTATTAGTATTATTGATATTTTTGTTATTACAAGAATTCAGAACTTGTGAATTCACAGTTTATATATTCTTCTCTTTTGAGTTTTAACTTTTACTTTTTAATTTCGTTTTTATTTTCATTTTATTTTGCAAACTTTTTATTCAGTTTAATTTAATTCAACTTTGTTCAATTTAATTCAGCCCAACTTAATGCGCTTTAATTTAATTTAATTTAATTTAATTTAATTTAATTTAATTTAATTTAATTTAATTTATTTGTTGTTTTGCAATTAGGAAGATCTTTGGATTTCTCTTTTGGAAGAACTCCCTGACGGTTCGTTTGCATTTAAAAGGAAATTATTTTTATTTTTAATTTATTTTTAATTTATTTTCAATTTACTTTTAATTTATTTTTTATTTATTTTATATTTATTTTTTATTCTTTTAATTTGCTTTTTATTCTTTTATTCCCTTTTCATTTTCTTTTATCTCTCTTTAATTCCTTTTTGTTCTTTATTCCTTTTTTATTTTTTTTTTTAACCTTCTTCTGTTTCCCTTCTTCCTTTTTGTTTCTACTTGTCCTATTTTATTCCTTTGTTTTTATTATTTTAACTTAATTTAGTTTATTTCATTTTATTTATTTTAATTTATTTCATTTTAATTTTTTTTTTATTTTTTTATTTTTAGAATTTGCCTTCCGTCGGCCGGACTCGCTGCAGCTGCTGGACTTGCGAAGGGCTGGTGAGTTTTTAAAATTAAATTAATTAAATTATTTTAATGCAATTTTAATTTAATTTAATTGGTTTAATGTAATTTAATTAATTTAATTAATTTAATTCAATTGATATAATTAAATTGATTAAATTGATTAAATCAGTTGATATTTATTGCGTTATATTACCACATGAATTATATTTTAATTTTTCTATTTTAAAATTCAATTTCCTTTTTTTAATTTTCTTTCCTTTTTCAATTAAAGATCTTTTGTTGCAAATTATTTCTTTTGAATTTCAATTTTTTTTGTTTCTTTGAATGCCATTTCCTTTTTTTGGATTTATTTCTTTTCAAATCTTTTTTGAAGTCCTTTTGAGTCTTTTTGTGCACAGCAAAAAGGCGCTTCTAAAATTCTTTTTAATGCATTTCGATTAATTGTTTCTGAGTTCTTTTATTTATATATTCCTTTCATTTATTCTTTATTTCATGAACTTAAAAGAAAGTGAAAAGTCTCGAAGTTCTTTTGCATGCGTTGTACGTACACCACGAGTTCTGCGGTGTACGTACACCGCAGAACTCCGCAGAAAGCGAACTAATCTGAAAGCTCTTCAGAGGCGATAAATTGCAAATAAATAAATCAAAAAGAGTAAAACTAATTCAAAAAAGAAGAGAAAGGGAAAAAGAAATAAAAAGGAAAAGAAATGGAAAAGACTTTGCGCTGCCGCGCGCCGCGGCTGCTGGGGTGTACGTACAGCTCGCAGGGCACTTCTGGAGTTCTGCAGAGGAGAAGTTCTCATTCTTTTGAGAAGTGTTCCTGGAAGAAGAGAAGCTCCAAATAATCCAACTGCAATAACTTTAGTTGGTGGGAAATAAAAATAAAAATAAAATAAAAAAAAAAAGAAAAAAGAAAAATCCAGTTTCGCTGCTTTGTTCAGTTTCTGCAACTTTTTGTTTTTAATGCATTTTTGAATCTTTTTGTTTTTTTATTTTTCGTTTTTAGTTTAGTTTTGTTTTAAATTATATTTTTAGTTTTTCTTTTTAAATTATATTCTTAGTTCTTTCTTTTTTAATTCTTTTTTCATTTTGTTTAAATTAAGTAAATAAAATAATAATAAATATATAAATAATAAATACAAATAAACAATAAATACAAGTAAATAATGAATATGAGTAAATAATAAATGTAAATAAAATTGAAATATGAAGAATAAATACAATTGGAAAAGAAAGATAAATTGTGATTGTTTTTCGATGTTTTGTTCCATTTGTTTTATTTCTTTTTGAAGACTAAAAATAAAAAAAGAAAAAAGAAAATAAAATGAATTAAAGATATTCAAAAATGGATAAGTTATAGTTATTTCGAACCGAGGTTTGCTGCTTTTGCTGCTGCTGCTGCTTTTGCTGCTGCTGCTGCTTTTGCTGCTGCTGCTGCTTTTGCTGCTGCTCTCAGCCATTCTTGCTGCAGCTCTTTCGGAAGCCTGGAACGTAAGTAGCAGCAGCAGCAGCAGAAGCAGCAGCAGCAGCAGCAGCAGCAGTTGTAGCTGCAGCAGCAGCAGAAACAGCAGCAGCAGCAGCAGCAGCAGCAAAGGAGACAATAAGTTTAGATCCTGTTTCCCCTGCTGTCTGCTGCATTTATCTTGCGTGCCGGTTATTTACTTTTTTATTTATTTCCATTTATTTATTCTATTTATTTATTTCATTTATTTATTTATTTCATTTATTTATTTCATTATTTATTTATTTATTTATTTATTTATTTATTTATTTATTTGTTTATTTATTCAATTTGTTTTATATTTATTTGTATAGTGAATTATTTAATTTACAAATTCTACTTCTTGGTTTTCTCTGCCTTGTGGATCTTTTTTTTGATTTCTTTTTCTTCTCCCCAGCGAATGAAATAAATAAATTCATTAATTAATAAACAGATAAACAAATTAATTAATTATTTAATTTAATTTAATTTAATTAATTTAATTAGTTTAATTTAATTTAATTAATTTAATTTGATTAATTTAATTTGATTTAGTTTATTTGGTTTTGCTGCTGCAGCGCGTGGAGGCGGGAGAGCCGGAGGCGTTGGGCCGGGTGGCTCTGGTGCTGGACGGTGGGTTGGGGAGTTCGTTTGAAGTGGAAAAAGGGGAAAAAAAGTGGAAAATGAATTAAAAAAAGAATAAAAAGAATAAAATAAATAAAATAAATAAAATAAATAAATAAAAGAACAAAAACGAGCAAATAAATGGACAAATCCGCGAAAAACGGGGGGGGAGGCGGGCAGAGATGACCCGGCGGCGCCGGGGGAGCACTTGTTCATTTCGCGCGTTTTTTCGTCATTTTTCTTCTTTTTTTTGAATTTTTTGAATATTTTTGAATTAATTTAAATTAATTTAAATTAATTTAAATTAATTTGCATTAATTTGCGTTAATTTCCACCAATTGGAGCTTTCTGCGCCTTCGCAGGCAACGACATCGGCTCGCGGCTGCGCGCCGGGCGCAAGCGCTTCCGCATAGAGCCTTTGAACTAGTGGACCAGTGGACCACTGAGTGGACCAGTGGTCCACTTTGAAAAAAGTTGAAACTTTTGAGAAAAATTGAAACTTTTGTGAAAAAATGGAACTTTTTTGTGAAAAATTGGAACTTTTTGTTTCAATTTTCCTTTTATTTGACCCTTTTAACCTCCAGGGAGGCCATTTTCCACGCAGCCGCCGACGCGCCGTCTTCCGATTAGGGTTTAGGGTTTAGGGTTTAGGGTTTGGCGGGAGTGTACAGACAGCAGGCCGCCAGTGGCCCCTTTAAGTGCAAAATGCAGAAATAAATGAAGAAAAGAAGTCGGAAGAAATTCAATTCATTAAACTGCTAAGTGAAACAGCAGCAGCAGCAGCAGCAGCAGCAGCAGCAGCAACAGCAGCAGCAGCAGCAAATATTAAGAAGCAGCAGCAACAGAGCAGAGCAAAGTTTGAAAGGAAAAGTTCCGAGTTGGCAATCAGGGAATAAGGCCAAAACAGAAAGGCCAGAACAATTCCCTCAAATGCTGCTGCTGCTGCAGCTGCTGCTGCTGCTGCAGCTGCTGCAGCTGCTACTGCCGCTGCTGCTGCGCTGCTGTTGCTGCTGCGCCAATTCGAACGCCACACAAGAACAGTGGTGCGCAGCAGCAGCAACGCCAGCAGCAGCAGCAGCAGCAGCAGCAGCAGCGGAACAGCAGCAGCAGCAACAGCAGCAGCAGCAGCAAGACGTCACAGACGCAATTCCAGAGGCATCCCGTGGCGGACTTCAAAGAAAACGAAAGTTGCTGCTGGCGCGAGCAGCAGTGCTCAGCAGCAGCAGCAGCTGCTGCTGCTGCAGCAGCAGCAGCAGCAGGTTACCGCTGGCTGGGCCTTCAAGGCGCTGCAGATAAACCCAAAGACATCAAGGAAAAGCAGACAGTAGGCATTTATGCTTGCTGCTGGGAAGGCTGCTGCTGCTGCTGCTGCTGCGTTGCGGCTGCGGAGCAGCAGCAGAGCAGCAGCAGCAGCAGCAGCAGCAGCAGCAGCAGCAAAGGCTTGGGACAGCGCCCGTTCAATGCGCTTCGGAAAGATGTCTTAAAATGCTTCAAAGAAATAAAAGAAATTGGCAAAGAAAACAGAAAGTACTGCAGCAGCGGCTGCAGGCCATCGGTCGCTCAGCAGCAGCAGCAGCAGCAGCAGCAGCAGCAGCAGCAGCAGCAGCAGCAGCAGCGAGGCTTTTAGCAGCAGGCTGCTGCTGGGTTCTGCAGCGTCTG